GTTTACGAAAATGTTACCCTGTCAAATCAGTTTAATTACTTTTTAATTAAACTAATAACTGATATATCTAATTAAACAGGGTAACATTTTAATGACAAATCAAGAAAATTTATTTATTTATTAATTTTATATTTTTATTTTTCGTAATTTATTTTTATTTATTTTAATAGTTTATTATAATAAAAATAAATAAATCATATTCCTCAAAAAACGTAATATATTTTCAAATTATAAGGAAATGATTGATTTATTTTAATATTTTTTTATTTTTGTTTTTTTATTTTAATAATTCACTTCTTTTTTTTTCATAATTTTATTTTTGTATTAATTTATTTTAATTTATTCATTAATTTTAATAATTTATTATAATAAAAATAAATAAATCATTTCCTCAAAAAACGTAACATATTTTCAAATTATAAGGAAATGATTTATTACTTGAATATTTTTTTATTTTAATATTTTTTTATTTCTTTTTTTATAATTTTATGACTTAGTAATTTATTTTAATAATTTATTATAATAAAAATAAATAAATCATTTCCTAAAAAGACCGTAATATATTTTCAACTACCGATTTATACCGATGCCAATGGCCACTCGATGGCATCTCAATAGCGTGTCAGTCTGACAGTGGCTTGGCGTAAACATAAAATAGCAGAATTGAGGGCCAGGTATGTTGACAGCAATGACAACTCAATAGTGACAGCTAGATGTCATTGGGATCGACTTCAGTACAGCATATCGTCCCCGTAGTTGGAAAGTTAAATAAGTCCGGTTTGGCGATATTGACTTTTCCCTATTTTCAAAACACCTAAAACATGCCGCATATTTGAGCCTTACAGGCATTTTCGTATCTTATTCCATTCCAAAAATATAGCCATTATTGTCGGATAGATGGAATAATAAATATCTTCAGACTAACACTATTTTTTTGAAGGAAAAATAAATAACTCAGTAAATAAATCAATAACTGTGGTCAATGATAAGTTAAATGGCAAATAAATGAAATAACATACCTATTTTAAGTTTTTCATAGTTTTACTTACTACTTAAGTATGTCTTTTGTAATTAGGTCTCTGATTTTAGAGCCTTAAGGTTATTTTTTGGGTTTAAATTATTTTCTGTTTTGATTTGAAAGAATACTTTAAGTTAATTTGTTGCCACTTGTTATAACTGCTATAATTTTGTTTATTTTTTTAAGTTTGTGGCAAGATAAATATCTGTTTACAATACCCTTTTTTTAAATTTTATTGTACTTTTATATTTCTTCCAAAATATAACTTGATTAATATCATAATACAGTTTTTACTTTATATGATACCAATAATATTTAGTTAAGAATATCAAAATAATGTAAAATACAAAGCCACTAAGTTTTACATTTAAAAATATTTCGAGTTTGATAAATTCAATAACTGCATTTATTTCACCAAATTTTACTTTTATTAATTTTTTACAATAATCGCTACCATGAGATACGCAAGGCGCTACAAAAGTCCCATACATGCCTGCCCTTGTCCTTTATAATCAATTATCAGTGTGACTTTAAATGTTGAGGAAACAGTGCTTGTTATAATAAAATTTAATTACGTTGCCGCATAAGACCACCATTAATGTTTGATTTGGTCTGGGTGTTTCTATGTATAATATGTATGTATTTACAAAAAAAAAAGTATATATGTATTTATATCAGTTGTCTAGTACCCATAGTACAAGCCCTGCTTAGTTTGGGACTAGATGGCGTTGTGTGAATGTAGTAGAATATTATTATTATTATTATTACCAACGACAAACTATTACTGATTAGTTTTCGAAATAGTAGTACATGTTAGAACTAAACATTTTCACACCTAACATTTACGCAAAGTCCGTGTAGTGACGGATTAAGAATACGGCATGTCACTACCCCAATTCATCCCGTGGGTGTCGTAAGAGGCGACTAAGGGCGCAAAACAACGCAGGACACCAGCACTGCAAAAAGAAGGAAAACTTGATACAAACCCTTTTTTTTTTTTTTTTTTTTTTTTTAACGTGTGGAAATCCCCTCGGACCGTCACCCCACCGGGGTTTGCGGCGGGGTGGTGTGTCGGACTCGAACCGACTAAAACCACACGGTGTGCCCTCTTTGCGCTTCCAGTTTAGGAGGGGTCCAGGTAGTTATCGCCTTCTGGACCCCTCCCAGCGCCGGCCCGCTCCTGGTGCGGGCTCCGTCTTCAATTATCCTCTCTTTAGGCGACGTCCGGCACACGCGGACGCCGCCCCCTCGCGGCTGGCCAACTAATGCGGGTGGAGGGGAAACCCACCCCGTCCACCCGCGGCCACACTCAGGGCGGCATGAGGCGCAGGTAAGCGCGCCTCCGCCGCCCGGTTCGCCGGCGGCGGATCAGGTCCGAGTGGAGGTCGTCCTCCCGGGCCTTCTCCGCCGCCTCCTTCTGCGAGATTACCTCCTCGCAGAAGGTTGCGACCGCGGTAAAACAACTGTCGCTACCGGCCATGGAGCGAATTACGGCCGGTAGCGAGAGATCTGCTCCGATGACTGCAGTGAGGGCCCGGCGCTGCGTCGCCCATGCGGGGCAGACCGCCAGCGTGTGCTGGGCCGAGTCCTCACTGCAGTCGCAGTGGTGGCAGGCGGGACTCAGTTCCCTCCTAGCGACCGAGTGCAGGTACTTTCCGAAGCAACCGTGCCCGGAAAGCACCTGCGTCAGCCGGAAGGAAAGGGCCCCGTGCTGCCGCCCTGCCCACTCGGCTATGACCGGCTGGAGAGCCTCCACGGCGGCGAAGCCAGCGCGTGGAGTCTCCAGCCGGAACGACCATCTAACCATGGTGGCTCGGCGAGCGGCTTCGCGCCACTCGCGCACGTCTTCGGGCGGAGGGCGAAATCCGCTCTCCGCCCGGAAGTCAGCCACTCGCCGATAAACTTCGGCGAGCACCTCCGCCTCCAAATCCCACGGGGGTGTTCCGGCCAAGGCGCAAGCCGCCTCGGTGGACACCGTGCGGTATCCGCGTATGGCTCTGACCGCCAATATCCTCTGGGGGCGCCAGAGGCGCGCCCTATTCGGGGCGGTCAGAGCCGCCACCCACACCGGTGCACCATAAAGCGCCATGGACCGGACAACCCCCGCGTACAGCCGCCTCGTGGGAACACTGGCCCCGCCCAAATTGGGCAAAAGTCGCCCTAGGGCGGAGGCAGTGTCCACCAGCTTCGGACCAAGCTGTCGGAAGTGCTCGTCGAAGAGCCACCTACCGTCTAGGACCAGACCCAGGTACCTCATCTGGGCCCGGACCGGTACGAGGACCGAGCCGACCTCGATTGAGGCGCCGGCGGGTGGACCACGACGGGGCCCATGAAATAATAGGGCCTCCGTCTTATCCAGGGCCACCCGTAATCCCAACGCCTCAATGCGCCCGACCACCTGGGAAACTCCCGTGGCGGCCAGGCGCGCCGCCTCCTGGAAGTTAGCCCCCCGGGCCGTGACTAAAGTGTCATCTGCGTAGCAGAGTACACCCAGCCCGGGGGGGAGACGCCCTCGTAAACTTGATACAAACCCTATACCAACCCGTCTGGCCAGCGTGGTATAGTAGGCCAAAACCTCCTTTCTAAGGAGAGGCCTATGTCCAGCAGTGGACTATTAAAGGCTGTTGATGTGATGATGATGATGATTTACGCAAATTTGAATACAATTTTTATTGTGTTGGATTAAAAAATACGACAAAATAATACATATATATTTTAGATTTTATTTTAGCTTAATTTCAGAAATCGGTAGTGAAAGTGTAGATCACCTACCAGTTGAAAATTTCGATTGCAGCAAAACTGTGAATTCAGCAGGCGTAATTTAGAACTTACTTTCTCACTAATTCCACCAACATAATGATGATGATGAAAACAATTTCGTTTACAAAAATAAACTTCAACCTCATTACCAAAATTTGAACAGCCACAAAGTCATGCAAAACTCCAGTTTTATATTCTACTTAGGAAGATTACTCTAATGAATCTATAACTACTTTAAATCGTTTATTTTAAATCTATTACAAACTAAAAGCAATGGCCATATCAACAGCATAGAATAGACAAAGAATATTTTATTTTAATTACCTTCTGCTACATATGCAGTCAGCTTTGATACTGCTTAGTAATTCCCCAGCTTTTGATGCAGAACTCAAGAGTTGATAAATCACAAACTATTACGCCAATTACGCGACGTTGACTTCCCTTAATCTTTATACCTGTCCTAAGTTAGAAAAAGGGCTCACCAACAACCCAACTTATACTCAGCCTCTGCAATGATTCAAATTGATTTATGCTCGCAGATAAGCAGATCGAAAACTTTCCCAAATAACCATTTTCGAAAGCCTCGGCTCACACAGACTCGGAAAAACTATTGTTTCACTCTTCACAGTTACGTAACGCCGAGTGCTATTGTAATAAGTTATTGGAGGAAAGGATTTGCGGCTATAAGTTAGCCGCGCACAGTGCCCTGATTCCGTAGATATTGATCTACGCGTCGGACGCTCGTTCCGACGACGTCGGAAGAAAAACGATCGCAGTTTAACGAAAAGGAACACCAGAATCTAATTACGTTCTCCTTCTTTACTTTGCAACGTCCTTCGTAAACAATTTAGCTTAACATATTAATTAAGGGATCTATTACGAGGTGATTCGCTACAACTCAGTATTTCGCAAAGGAAAATGACAAAAGTAAACGTTATGTAATGAAATATATTTCTCGTTACAACAAAGGTAAAATGGAATTATTATCAAACTGTATAAGTTATTCCGCCACAAATGCGTCCCATCCATCATAGGTAATCGGAAACGATCATTGCAAAAATGAGTATAATTTACTGTGAGCTTCGCATTTTGCAGTCAACCCAAATTGTCGCCATTACATGCTACATGACACTGCGGTACACCGTAACGACTGTCCATTTCGTTTCAAACACTTTTTGTAGCCGTTCATATAGTTATCTATATCGTTACTATCGTTATGTCCTTAATAAACAACCTTTCTGGTTTTCTTTAAGGGAGGCCCTGCCAACAATTTCTCATCCTTTCGTCTTTTTTTTATAGGCACGACACTTTTTAAAGAGGAACCGATAGCGATCCTTTCTGTTACGCGGTACTGTTTTTCAGCAAAGGGCTTTAATATAGCAAAACTTATCCCTAAAGTTTTACCTTGTACAATATCTTCCCGCAACATACTATTTTCGTTAATACGAGTTTTCATGAACTTCAGAAGGTTCTCTTCGTCCAGGTTACTCATTTGGACAAGAGCGGCGATGGCTACTTTGTCGTGGTCTTCAGATTCTTTCATTTCTACTTCCAATGTTATTTCTTCTTCATATGTGGGATATATGATTTCTTGAAGCTGAAAGCGATTCGGACCGGCACCTACCAACAACGCGCACCTGAAGTTTTTCTGACGGCCAACCACGGTGTTCAACCAATTCGCATTCCTGTCAAGAGCTCCTAGTAAGAAATTAATGAAATCGTTTACTTCCTTTTGCTTTTTGTAAGAGACAATTGCCGCCAGAGCAACCTCTGGTGGCTCTTTCTCGGCCAGTTCAGCAGCTTTCTTCGATGTTGTTCTTCTGGTTGCCATCGTGAATGACAACCGCTTAAGGAGTCCCAAAACTGTTTTACATATATTTGTCACACGTGTAGTCCGGTTACGAAAAATTTTGGCGTTTGGTATGAAACCAGAGTTGAGAAAATATGTTGTTTGTTTTTTATTTTTTTGATGTATCTTCAAGCCATTTTATAACGTTGTGGCCAGTTTAAATATTCTTGTTTGTTTTTTATGTGAAGAGAGAAGAATGTTATATAAACGATGGAGGTTATAAACGTCTATATAAACGTAGAGTTTCAATTTAAATTTGAAATAATTATTTTGAAAACCTATATTATTTTTGTTTCATAGTTACATTATTGTATTGTATGAATCTAATTCTTTAATACTTTAAAAGAATTAGATACATCAGTAAAAAGCTGACTCTCGCCCACCTAGACGCCTACTTCTCACGGTTACTTCACTGTTATTGTAAGTGTAGGTTGATAATAACCTAGTTTATAAAATCCTAAATCTATCTTGTATGTTAAAATACATACTATAAGTCTACTAGAATAAGAGATTGTCCAATCGTACAAAAAAAAACGGTGTCTTAAACAACGTTAGAAAGATTTTATCAGTAAGCTACTATGTTCCGTTTTTACTTTTACGAGAACACATCTTCGTGATTGTAAATTCGACTGGCACACGAACTTAATACGTATTAAACGAGCATAAACATATACAAACTCGTAACATTCAATGTTTTTTAAAACCATATTTCCATTTTTTTAAACTCAGCTTTAATGAACGGACCACAAAAAAAGACAAGGAGTAATTCACCGTTTTTATTCTATCGTCTATGCACCAGAGCATAGAACCGTTCGTGTATATGTGGGTGTTTATTTTTCAACTTATAGTTGCAAACGTTGGGTGAACGACCTCGCACGCACATAATACATAATTACGATTTTAAAATGTCCGTAGTGATTGGCTGGCTGAATAAGTACGTTGTCTGTGCCACACAAAAATGTTAACTGTATTTTAGTCTATGGTAGTTGGAAATAAAAATGATCTAGTTTGAGAATGTATCTACTTTTATGAGCTTATTTTGAATGAAATCATGATTTATAGCTAAAATGTGGGTGCCTTGAGACGAAAACTTTCAATTCAACTAAGATAGACTAGGTATCGAGCTACTCGAGGTAACTTGTTTCCAACGTCGCTATAAGAGTTAAAACTATCTTTTTACTCTTGTTTGTTCCAAACTAGGTATTTTAAGTATTATCTTACTACTACTAGCTCATATTAACACCGATTTTATTGATTATTTTTTCTTATATAAATATGTGCTGTTCCATACTCAGTAATCAATTTCAGCCGGATCCGTTGAACCGTTTTGTCGTTTTTAAAGTAACAAACATCCATAAGTCCGACCTCACAAACTATATTAACATCTAGCCTATAATTTTATGAAAAAAGTTCAACTTAATTTAAAAGTAAATATAACTTATTGCACAAATAATAAATTATTAGTAGGTATTCTATCCGCGTAAATGCTATTCTACTAACAGATACTGATAACTAGTTGCCACTGTAATTTATGGTAACTTTATCAAACAATAAACGATGCCCCAGACCGAACTAATAATGGACTTGATATCTAAATGTATATAATTATATAACGCAATCACGTAATAGGTATTACATCAGATTGAATTGGTTGTCTTTTCGAACAAGTTGCACCAGCCGTGGTCACGACCTGAATGATGAGTTAATTATCTAACGTACATATTTATTATATAATTCTACAGAGTAGGAAAACATTCCCGAAAACAAAGACCCGATTCTAATAAGTAATGACCTCATAATATATCAATATATGTATGTATGCATACTTATAGGTATATGATACGCTCAGACATTACTTTGTACACATCTTTTCAAATAGATGTATGATCAGTAGTACAATGAACTCGTAGATCATACTTTACATGCGTGGATATCCAAAGCGGCATTGCTAGGCTCGTATCACATATGGTCAGGTGGGGAAGGTAACACAACAGACAGTGGAGGTAAGCGCTGACGCGTCGCAAAGAGTAGCCTATACCTGGGTCGCTAAGTCCCAGGCGCTGCCGAAGTAGCATGTGTTGCCCCTATCTATCACGCGATGGACTCGGCACCCGCGCGGTGAATCCATGGAACGCTAAGAAATAGGTCTAAGCGCACCAATAATCCAGATAATTTGGCATTTCACATGAAGCGGAAAACAAAATTGTGAGGCTTTGAAAATTGGTAATTTAATTAATGTATGTTTTAAGTTTAAACATTATCTGAAACTGCTTCAAGAAGCCACAGGTGTTCAGTACTTAAATATGTAATTTAATTTAGCATAAGTTTATTATGTGCATAGTGTAGTTCATTTTCTTCTGTAAGTTCAAATATTTTGTTTTTAATTTATGTTTTATGGTTTTTCATTTTTTAAGTTTGCTACAATTTTACTACTAATACGAGTAGTATAATCTAATCAACTGATCTCGTAAAGTGTACCAGTTTTTAGTTACGTATAAAGTCAAGTTGTTATTTTATTTTGTTTATAATTATTAAGTTTTATGTTTTTTTTTAAAGCGTATACGTTTTTAGTTTTGTATGAAGTCAAGTTGCTGTTTTAAGTTTTTATAATTTTTATGTTGTCTATAATTATGTTAATGTTGTGCGTATTTGTAATAAGAGAAACACATGTACTTAGTTTAAAACAATTAATGTAATAAATGATTGTAAATAAATAAATATGTTGAATTGTCATGATACGGTAAGTCTATAAAGTGAGAGTTCCTGTAAAACTGTTCATGCTATGTGTGTATATAACACATAACAGTCATGGTCGAAATTTGACCATTAGATGACTTCTAGTTTGGATTATTAACCATTGATCTCGGCCATGTGTGAGCTCCTCAACGTACCTACATCAAACCGATAACGTACAATATAACTAACACATACTCATTGAAGTGTCAGTTAAATAGATAAAATAAGCGTATATGTACTTAGTAATTCTTGAGTTTTACGTGTCCGTGGGCGGCGGTAATCACTTACCATCACGTGATCCGTCTGTTCGTTTGCGCCCCATATATCATTAAAAATAGAAAATAATTTAACCATCATCTTGAAATCTTTCAACAGCGGCATAATGACACTAAGTTAGTTTCGGCACAGTTCCTTTGTCAGTGGAAGTAGAAGAAGTTTCGACTTTATAAGCTGGTACTTCTTTATACATGTCACGGTGGCGCTCTTTATGCTTTTTACTTGTATTACCTATACATTCAGTCAAAAAAGGAAGGGAATGGATGATTTGTTTATGGTTCCAAATTCAAATTTTTGTTTTTTTTGTTGTTGTTAGATTGGTACAACTGTTTTCGATTTAGGCGGAGTTTGAGTTGCATCCGTTATTTATATTAAATACAGTGCTGTTTTTAGTTATATTATATCTAGTGTGTAATGCGAATTTCATAATGGACAAAAACATCGAACAAAGAGTTTGTCATAAATTTTGCATCGCCAACGGAATTTCGCGTTTGGAGTCCCTGAAAATGTTACCTTCTGTAACATTGAGAACTGAACTCAATTCCGGAAACAGCTTTTAAATAATGTTTTGATGATAGGATTATTCGTTGGCGTAAGTGTATCGTTTCTGAAGGAGCATACTTTGAAGGTGATAAAATAAATTTGGATGAATAACAAACATTTAGTGTATTATTGATCTCTTCCCGGTACTTTCTTGACAGAGTAGTTTATACAATGAAATGAATTTACAAACATATGTCACGATCTCAACATATATAAAGACTCACGTCTTTAAATTCCAAAAAAAAGGGGGTACCCCCTTAAATAGAATAAAGTTCCGACTTATATAAAGATTAGCTATCTGTGGCTCTTCTCAAAGCCTGTTTAAGCGTTTATCATACAGTAAAGGTTCGGTCTCACGAAGGTTAGTTTAAAAAAAGCATTATTAGGGAAGTATTACTTATTATTGTAAGACAAGCTACATATCTTTTTTATCGTTCTTTATATTTCACTAGCTGTACCCTGTCACACTTTGCTATTGGACATTGTGGTTGAATAACAAAACATATTATACAAAAATTAGATATAAAACATCATTGAAGCAAGTTTAAAATTTGAGCTCAATTATTGCCGAACTTTTTGAGTTTTTGAAGCTACACAAACCAATTTAACTTTTTTATATAGGTATAAAATATAGTTTATTGAAATTTTCCATGTCATCCATATCATATTAGGTAGCCTCTGTTTTCGTCAGAAGCGCTGTCAGCGAATGTAAGGGGAAGTCAACGATACAGAATAATACAGGGTTGGGTACAGAATAATACAAGCGTAAGACATGTTTTTTACAATATTTACAACAATTATAAAAACATTTTTTTTTATTTTAAGTTCCAAATTCCTAAAATTAATTGCTACAGTCGAATAATCTAGACGTTTCCTCGTCGTCGAATAATCTAAACGTCTAGATTATAAATGTTCGGCTTTGACAATCCCGCATACGTATTTCAATTTCATTATAATATTATGACCTCATCGTCGAATGATATAATTACTGCTAGAATTAGCTCTAAAACCAGTTCTTGTTTTATGACCTTTTATTGTTTGAACGAAGTAAACATCGATTCGATTATGTCAGTCACCTGAGCAACAGTATTCGCATTTTAATTTTAAAAATGTTTCCTTAAGATGAAACGCAGTGACAGAATTGTAGGCCGCTAGATGGCACTCTTAGTATACCGTGGCGACGAGGACTACCGAAGCTCCAGGACAGGAAAGATAAAGATTTTTCTGGCACATGTCACCGGTTGCCAACAGAGACGCCGTGTTTGTTTGCTAACTTACTTATGCTTGGATTTTTTATTATTATTATATAAAAACGTAATAAAGGTTTACTTACACAACGTCATTTTTATTCGAAAGTTTTGTTCTATTGATTAGCAACCTTGATGATTTTTCATCATAAAAAGGTAGGTACCAAAATGTTAAAGATAAAACAAATGGCTTAAGGCGCATTAGAGCAATTACGACCGACGCCCGACCAACACCGCCTCGCCTCGAGTGGTTAGTATTATTTGTGTGGAGTTCTATGGGTATATGCTCACTACATCAGCGCCTCGCACGCGGGTTGACCAGGCGTAGACCATGCGGTGACCACCAGTTGCTAGCACACTTGCCTTACGTTGCCCACGCGCAGGTCCTGAAGGAATCGCGCTGCCCGCGAGTGGTTGGAGTGGGTCGAGGTCGAGACGGCGAGTGTTGATCCCAGACAAACTATTCATGTAGTCGCGGACAACGCAATATCCACTCTTTGACTACGGGACATTTACTGGTTGACAAGTAGTGGAGTAGACACCGAGCGACGAGGTGGGGTCGGGTGTAGGGTGAGTTAAATGAGCTATGATCTTTAATCGCCTTTAGAACTTCAAAGACGACAGGTTGGGGATTAGGTGGTCATTATAACTGACTGATTCTAAAAGCAATCTTTTACCTTTAGCCATGCAATATGGTTTGCCCTACAGTCAATCCTTACTTCCAAATTTTCATACGACTTCCCATCTTACAGGGAATGTTAGGTTATTACTGGGCAATTTATACGCACTGAATTTTAAAACATAATTTAAACTATAGTCATATTATTAAACCGTGGGAGTATTTATAATTTTCATACGTAGGGTACTCCGAAGCTCGACAAAGTACTAAGTAGACTCGCCAAATTGTAGCCACCTATGTACCTACCTACTTAATATTGAAATTGAGTAGGTACGCTATGTACCTACGTACATACCCTATTAATACCATATGTATAACAAATACTAGTTTGTAACAAAAACAATTACAATATTAGCATTTGTGTAATATGTCAATACTGTGCATATGAATACCTAGCGTCGATCATTTGGCTAAATTCAGGTTTCAAGTTGCAAACGAGTTATGTAAAATCACGATAGTCAATCACCTAGGTAGGTCACTATTAACAGTTAAAAATCTTAGTTGTGGGTAAATAAAAAAAACTCAATTTTTGCCTTCAATAGAATCCCTTAACTACCAATTATATTTTAATCAACTGGCTGCCTTTAAAATAATATTCAACCTTATTTCAAATGTCATAAAGGTGATAAGCCTTACATATAGAAACCTAAATACATTTCTTTAAAATGTTTACAGCCCTGTTAAACTGTAAATTAGTAAATCTAACAAAACATTCGTGCCGAAACAGCAGGTTGAGCAAAAAATTACTAACGCGAGAAATTGCCTCTCAAAGAGAAATAGCGAACGAGATCACGCCGCGGATCGAGGTCAAACAATATAATAATAAAGGCATATAGAGCGTACGAACGAAGGCATGAATCTAATAGGTTAGGTTTGACATCGTCAAAACAATATAACTTACCTACCGAAGACTGCATTCACATACAACAGCTACCCATTCCGTTACAAGATTCGCTTCAACGGTCGTCGGCAATGCTGTCACTTACTCACACACACAAACACAACGTAGTAAACGTCATAACCAACGTTTACATCGTTAATTACACAATTTGGCAAATGTTTTCCGACATTGCCAACAATATATCACATGTAAAACTACTTTAACTTGCACATGTAACGGTCACAAACCACAAAATGTTAGTCAATCATAGAAAAAACTTATTTTTAAGGCAAAGACAGACCTAATCACCACTCCTTTTCTCTCATGGAGTTCTGTGATAGCGAACAGCTGCGGCGCGTGTTGTACCAAAACAAATACAAGTAACGCCATCTGTTGGCTAATGGTGTGCAATAACAATGGTTCAAATTAGTCCACCCGTGCACCTCGATAAAGCAGCTGTTTAATCAATTATAACAAAGATGGCGCTACATGCGCATTTTTAAAACAATAATCCCGGACGGTAAAAAAGAACTACTAAGAAATGAAATTTAAACTAAATTAAAAGTAAATTTTGTAATCTTTTGTTTTTTTTCTGTATTTACTCTAATAATTGTCATTTCTATTGTAGAGCAGGTCCCATTTTACAATAAAAAATACAAAAAAAAAACATAATTGATGTTATAATAATAATTATTATTTAAAAAATTGTATGAAAAAGTCCAAAAGATAACTCCGCCGTAACAGTGTTATTACACTGCCGTGACCAGGATTCGAACCTGGGTTACTACGGCCACAACGTAGGGTCCTAACCACTAGACGATCACGGCTATCGGAGCAGTTACACTTACAACTGAAAAAGTGGAGTATACTCAAAGTAATGTGTTTACAAAACATTTATCTCTTAAATAAATATCATCATCTTAATCAACCAACAGTTTAAAAATGTAAGAAATAATAATTATATTGGACTTAGAATTTTGATTTAGAAAAAGTAATTATTTTCTGTGTGGTGACGGATTAAGAATACAGAGTGTCAGTATATTCATCCCGTGGGTGTCGTAAGAGCCGACTATGGGAAAAAACTACGCAGAACAACAGAACTGTAGAGAGAAGGAAAACTTGACACAAACTCTATACCGACCTGTCTGGCCAGCGTGGTATAGTAGGCCAAAACCTCCTTTCTAAGGAGAGGCTTATCTAGCAGTGGACTATTAAAGGCTGTTGATGTGATGTGATGTGAATTATTTTAGGTAATGATGTTATTAAATTTATCTCAAACTCAGTTCAGTTGTTTGTTAAGTTATTCGCATAGTATATTATTAAATACTTATTAATAAAGGTAAAGTTAAGTATATTTGTGTAATTACCGTTGTATAGTAATAGATCATTTGAATTGACATAAAACCTTCATGGTGTGAGATTTTGAGTGACCAATGAGGTTCTTCGTTTATAGATATGCAACATTCGATCTTCGACTTTCAATATATTTTTTTATTCAGCTTAGACGTGAACGATTTTCAATACGAGTGCCGAAGCAGAACTGACGCGGCTTCTGCCGCTGTTTCTACAGCTCGCAATATCAACTCTGTCTTTGAAGAGGAGACTGCTAATGAACGCACCGTACGTTTTTGGTTTAAACGCTTTCGTAATGGAAACTTCGACTTGAAGAACGAACCACGTGGAAGACCACCCACACGGGTGAATAACGCTGAATTGAAGAAGATGGTGGAAGCCGATCCGAGTCAGACTACCCAGGAATTAGCGGCAATGTTTAATGTTACCCAACCCAACAATATTGACTCATTTGCATTAAATCAATAAGATAAAAAAATATGAAAAATGGGTGTTTCATGATTTGACTGATCTGCAGAAAGAAATGCGTGTTCAAACTTGTGTTGCCTTGATGAATCAGTATAAAAATGAAGGAATATTGGATCGAATTGTGACATGTGACGAAAAGTGGATTGTTTACGATAACCGTAAGCGAAAAATGCAATAGAACACCCCAGGTCAAACGTCGGAATAGTGCCCTAAAGCAAAGCACTGCACGGATGGCGTAGTGGTTTAAGCGGCCGCCACGCCGCTTCCTAATACGCTGAGTGTTGTGGGTGCGATCCCCACATGGGACGACAATTTTCGCAATTTGATTTGACAATTTGCGTGATCCGCAAATTGTCATTCTGAGGCTGGGTGTTCTTTGTGTCCGTTTCGTGTATGTTTGTGAAGTCCCCCGCGACACAAGATGTATTCCTAGGGTGCAAGTTGTCCTTTAAAAAAAAGAAGAAAAAAAGCTTACCAATAAAAAGGTAATGGTAACTGTTTAGTGGTCTCTTCATGGTGTTAGTCTCTATAGCTTTCTCAGGTCTGGTCTGGTCTATGTTTACTGTGCCGAACTTAGAACAATGATGGCGAAACTGGCATTGACGCAGCCCCGACTCGTGAATCGAACTTCACCATTATTGTTCTATGATAACGCAAGATCTCACACTGCACGAGAAACCGTTGTAACTCTACAGGAGCTGCAGTTAGAAACCACACGTCATCCTCCATACTCGCCAGACTACCGTACTTTTGGTAATCGATTCGCATGAGAATCCACAACTCAACACATCATTGGAGGCTTTACTATGAATATAATAATAATATATATATCACACATCTCACACACGGCCGTCTGATCCCAAACTAGGCAGAGCCTGTACTATGGTAACCAGACTGCTGATAAACATACTTATATATATTTTTTTTTATGAGTACATAACAAACAAAAAGGGGCATTGAAATACTGAATGATGCATTTCAAAACACAATTTATTCTTTAGAAGATTATAATAACTGTACTTGTATAATAAAAAAGCGTGTTAATTTACATTTTACTGATTTAAACTACTATGGTCATTTTCACTTGATAAGTTATTATAAATGAGATATTTACCATATCTATTCCAGGAAGGAATTAGTTTGCAACAACGCCGTGATCACGACGCTTGCAACAGTGCCGAAATAACGGAAACGGATGCCCGAAAATAAACATGGTAAAGTCCCGTCATAATATTTTTTACTATTATAATTATTTACTTACAACTATTTAACTAAATGTCATATCTAATTATTATCAAAATGTAATTGGTATGGCGGCAAAAAACCTTTCGCAAGTTAGCGAAACCATGTAATTTCAGAACAAAATGCATCTTCCACACAACAAATAGTGTATATTTTCTCTTAACTCGTTACTATGATTAAGTATTGATATTTCGATCTAAAATCTACATACAATCAAAATAGGAATACATTTTCTAGTTTAAATATGTCAGTAGGTATCTATCTCGCCGCAATTTATGATAATTGTACTACAAATCATTGAATTATTTTCTAATTTAATTTATTTTTGATTACAATACAACTAATAATAAATTTTTACTTCATCCACCTTCGTTGTTATTCCGGTTTAAATATTTTTGTACGCTCGGCGTTAAAGATTCTAAAACATTCACCATCCTACCAAAAATACCGATCAATTGTTCGTTCTGTTTTATTCTAGCCATTTCTCTTTCATGAGCCAACTTTTCCCTCTCTCTTTCAAATTCAAAATATCTATCTGTAACCTCTTTTATTTCGTCATTGAAAGGCTTTTTTCTTTTATCAGATGTATGGTTTGAAGAAGAACTGTCGGACGCAAAGGAAGATGCCGTTGATTTTCTGCGACGCGAAGCTGTCCCATTGACGGCACAGAAATATTGAGGAGGTGGTGATAGTGTTCTTGTGCAAGGATCTGGTTCCATTTCCTCCTGAAATTAATATAATGAGATAATTTCACTCCCTAGGTGTGATTTATTCTCACTGATAGACATTGGTCGGTCAAGATCCCTTCTCTAGAAAGAAGTCTCTAGCATAGAGGTCTAGAAACCTCCTTCCAATCTGTTAGTCACTTACTCAGACAGTTCACTGTGGAGGGAAGGAATCAGCTTTTACATCAGGGGTCATTTTTATGTGGCCAGGACTTACATAAGTCATATTTGGTTATCTACTTGAAATCATATGACCCAAGCAAGAGCAGAGTCTTGACCCCACGACTCTTTTCCTAGGACCCACACTTGTCAATGTTGTATCCATTGGTTTGGCATGTAGGCATACCACAGTAGACTTAATTAACATTTAAAATACAGATGTACGAGACATCAATTGCATAAGATGTTTTCAAAGACATGTTCTAGTATTTGATTCACTATTATTGTAATAAATGCAAAGTGATTAATTACTTTTGACTATTACAATTTGAAAATTCAGTAGCAAGATTTGACTTTCAAGTTAGTCATATATTGAATAGTAGTAATATTCGATGCTTGAAATAAAACAAACCTTAAAAAGAATTTCATTATCATCATCAGACTCTGAACTTCTCTTTAAACCACTCTGTTCCCTTAATAACTTCAAGAGTCTCCTCTCAACATCTGTTAGATCAGGACCATCACCACCTTGGCCTTTGATCTTCTTTATTTTTCTTTTTGTGTTGTTTTTGAGGTCACTCCAAGCCTAGAAACATGAAAGAAAGAAATATTATATATTATTATTTCATATTAGAAAGAATTAACAAGACTTGTTTTGCATACATAATTTAAAAAATCATTGAAATTTTTATAAATCACAATAACTTTATTTGGGGTTGATTTGAGTTTTAGATGCAGTTTTATTTGTAATAAGCGGTCTATCAACACTACTCGTACAAACATATTAGTTTCCTTTAGTTTTAAGATGTATAATTTTGACTAAATTTTTAAGAGAGCAGGGGAGCGGGGCCATAGTCTATGGCAACATATTGTGTGTACCTCCAATACCCAATCGTATTGTACTTGTACAAACCCAATTCCTATAAATGATATTTATTTCAGTAAGTAAATCTTATACTATATCTTATATATACTATTGTCTAATAAGCATGATCATGTGTATGTATTTAAAAAAATATATAATCATGTATGTTTATCAGCAGCCTGGTTACCATAATACAGGGTCTGCATAATTTCAGATCAGACAGTCATGTGGGTGATGTGTGAACTTTATTATTAATATTATTATTTTACTAAACATTTTGACTAACAACTAAGGAAGCAAACTACAAACTACAGCACTGAAAAGAGAAGGAAAACTTGAAATGAACCCTATACAAACACGTCTGGCCAGTGTAGTATAATAGGCCAAAACCTCCAGCTTATGTCCAGCAGTGGTAGGTCCACTATTGAAGGCTGTTGATGATGATATGAAACATTTTGACCCCCATATCATTATTATTAAATAAATTAAATATTATTATTTGGAAACTGTTTTGTTTTACTTAAGTATCTATCCTATTTGTTGTGTACATTAAATTATGTATACCTATTTGGTATCAATGTGTATGGATTAGAAAGACTTGTATTCTTTTTAAAGCCTTCTAAGGATAAAAATTCAAACAAATACAAATATAAAAACTGTATTTAAAATTGTAAATACCATATACCTACAATAGAATTCAAAAAAATCACTAACTCGCTCTTTAACACCTCATTCATTTGGAATGAGGTGTTAAAGAGCTTTTAAAATAATAAATTGGTTTTAGATATATTGTAACAAAATAAGGATTTGTTTTTGTTATAAAAATTACCTTTCGCCATTTTTCTAGTGGTTTTGGTTCACCCCTAGATTTATTCAACAAGTCTGCTAGCTCAAGCCATTTCTGTAGATTGTCTAACCGTCCTTGGGAACCTGGAGGTGGCTTGCTTATATCACCATTACTGAAAAAAGGTAGAAGTATTTGTATTATAAACACAATTTCAATTGTATCAACTATTAAGTAAATACTGTTTACAAAACATAACTTATTATTCTTCCACTCTTCTGGCACTATCACAGGTTTGGCATACTCCGTACACAACTGGGTCAAACTCAAAAGTTCTACACCTTTGCTGCAGTATACAAACCACTTTAAAGCTTGTTTTTATCTATTTTTCGAATCCCTATGTTCTTCATTTCTCAACAGTATAACCACAACGTGCCACAGTGAAGCATGGCAGGGTATTTGGTATTGGTTGTGGGCTTCAGTTTCCGCATTTAGACTCAAGAGTGGTCCTTTATGCGTCGAGGATTGGTTAGCTTGGTGAGCCAACCAAGCTCCTTCCAGAAGCGTAGAAGCCAGATGGTTAATATTATTTAATTAATTCAAAAAGTGACTTAATAGTTACCTTTTAGAAGCTACATAAAATACAATTTTAACAATAAATATTATTAAATAACATTTCAAATGAATAATAGCTATCTACCCTATTACATTACTTACACATAGAACATTAGAACACACTTTATATTTATTTACTCTGATAAACAAATGTAATTATTATTTTGAAATGATAGTCTGAAATATTTTTTTTTTCTTGTTAGCTAGAATTTAAAACGCCTTCTTAATAAATAATAAATAACCTTTTTTCTTAATACATTTTTAACTACATTGCTGATTAGAAAGTAAACAAAGAACTATAAAATACTTACAAATACGAAGACTTTACTTGAACGAATAACGTTCGTATTTATTTGTATCAAAGGCCCTTTTGTTGACTGTTTACGTCTTCTGCTAAGTTAGGTCTCATCTACTTAATAATACCTAGGTACTATTTTCTGACAGAAAATACTTACCGTTCCATAAAATCTAACATAATTTCAAATTGAGCCTGAGTTCCTCTTTTGTCTCTCATTTATAGCTTTTCAAATTATAAAGTATTCCAATTTAATAGTTTGCCGATCTTTTCACCAAACATGAATTAACTGATACATACATACATTACATTCCCTGCCAGATGATTATTGACAATATTGACTAAGGAGCAGTGCTGCCAATATTTGTTTTTTGTTCCCCCTAGTAAGAATTTAGAAGGCGTCTTAAATAATTGATAGTAATAATAGTAGAATACGAGAAAATTATAGGAGGTTTTGTTTAATGAAAAAGAAAACGATCGTTTTTGGGGCCTCTATATGACAAGGAAATTAATAAAACTAGAAAAAACGTTTTCCCTCATACTATTACGGCGTCGCTCAAAATTGCAACTCTACTATTTCACCGTATCTTCCGGGGCATGGGCATGCGACGAAATCAGAGTTAACTGTGAAAGTCCGGTGATTTATCATTAGATTTTTGTACGTAGGTTAGGGTTACTACTCACTCACGCGTTGTTCCCACTAAGCAGTTTTCAGGTGATGCATAAAGACCCTATTTCGCCTATTTAACAGTAAATCTAGTCATTATTTTATTATATATAGCTACCATTCCCTACATAATAATTAAACAAATACGAGATTTAATGTTAAATAGCGTCTAACCTACCTACCTAGCAACCCTAACCTACGTAACGCAGAAATCGAATACTAAATCACGGTTCACTGTGATTTTGTCTCATGTCTAGTAGAATCTTCACCATTTTTGTTTCGGCCGTCTGTTTAACCATGATCAAGCATTGCAGCTTTGGCTCCCTGCAATTTCGAAAGGAACTCTGTCCGGTGATATGCCAATTAAAAGTATTATAGGTATCATGCAAACGAAACAATCACATATGAAAGTTAACGAAATAGTTCTGAGACTGAGCATACTGAATAGCATTGGGCTGGCGACATCGGCCAGAGCATCGATCGATGCTGGAGGAAACGTGTCTTAGTGGAGACCGCGGATCATCCAGCCTGGTGGACTGATGCCCTTAGAAAGTCAGCTGGTGTAGATTCGATGCGGCAAGCGGAGGACCGTGGGCTTTGACGGAAGTTTTCCTAGAGGCCTATTTTCTGCAGTGGACTGTAATAGGCTGATGGATTGATGCAAACGGAGCATTCAATGGAAAAACATTCTCTTGACTTCACGTTTTTTAAATAAAAAACCTAATTGAAGATATTTTACAATGTGGGATGGAAGAAACAAAACTATTACGAGTATAATATGTGGGTAAATGTATGTCCGTTTGGACATACATTTATTATTTTTAAGATTATGTATGTCGTGCTTTGTCGCAGAGCCACCATGACAAATACCGATCAATTATATGTTAAAATAATGTACGTCAAACGTACATAATATACTTATAAGGTACTATTAGCGCTGAACGTACATATATAGACACGTGGCTCTGCTGCGGATCATACTTCCTAGCAAAGACTTAAAATACGTACTCAGGACAGATAAAAGCTACTGTCTTTTTATGAAAACTAATGTACAAACGAGTTCGAGTTCGAGAACTGTTCATCATCGTCGATTGTCGGTTTATGGATTATATGGCCTGTCTATTGCACTTCATTACGTCCTGAATTCAAGAGCACATATGTACAGGTTGCAGTACAATAGCAGTATTACTACTTACGTTTCGATATACTAAAATAGATAACCCAGATTACTATTATATTAATTTTTATATAATGCAGTATCTTTTACATATCAGAGTAAAAATAAGCATACTTTACTGCAGGTGGATAGGATATTCCCGGCTACTGGTACCCGAGACGGCGTGCGGTTGTGAGTCGGTTAGAGTCAGACAACCTCCGATGAAGTGGTATCCGAGGGGATTGCCACACAGAAAAAAAAAGGTGGACAGGACAGGTTTCTTAACTTAACCGGGGCTCCAATAGAATTATCATCTGAAGCTTTGTATTCATTCTCATAACCATAGAAGAGCCATACTTCGGCACATATGGGCCGGGCCCGACCGGAGTAATGCCAGTCTCACATAAAACTGGTGTTAAGCAATCTGTGGGAAGTGAAATTTCAAGGGCGGCATCCCACTTATCTCTAAGTCGCATGTAGGTAGGTGGTAGTCACTTACCATCAGGTGATCCGTCTACTCGTTTGCCGTATGCCGTAACATTCACTCACCTTCCTATTTTTTAAGAATCAAAGAGAGGTCAAAGATGGGATGACATGCAAGGATTAATTCTCGTCACTACGACAATTTGTTTATAAAAGAGCTTAGGGTCCTACCAGATAACCACTTGGTGGTCTGCTCTATCCTTATTCTTATTCATACATATATAGAGAATACACTACAATAATAATGATACGTATTAACATTACTATTGTATTGTATGTCCAACGACAAATCTAATCCAAAGCTGCTGCCCGTGCTGTTTTTGCTTTCAACTCAATTCTGTTGTTATCGACCAAGTTAAAGCTGCGCGAGAGTATTTTGTCCGGTATAAATCGGATAGCCATTTTTTACCGGACAAAATACATATTATCTTCTATGTAGTCCCTCACGTACTAGAAAACATTCGTTTAGGCCGCGTCCCATGTATTTTTGGACGAGAAATGGATAGTACCCCTGACCTGACACAGCAGATTTCCGGTCATCCCATCGACGCCACTTCACTACATAAGGTAAATAAAATAAAACATATCAATTGCTATCGTTTATTGATTTAAAATACAAAACTTAGTGACATAAAGCTCTATCCTTTTATTGTTACAGTGCCTGCGAACTGACAATCCGATAGGAAATAAACATTTTAGCTCATCACGTCGCGCACCACCACACACCAACTCACACATTCCAATAATCCCATGCTGTCACAGTACAAATAAATAGTATAGTATATTACATACTCAAGCGCAAACATCTAGGGCCATTCTTGAGTAATGGATTTAGTTACAACTATATTCAAATAGGTTGGTGTTTTACGTGTTCGTTATCACTTAACATCCAGACTAGTTTGTAATTTATAAACATTGTCACGGCAGATTTCCTGTCATAAGGCTTGTCACAAACGAAACAATTGTCTTAAGTTATACATGTGTCACAGTGAGTAAACCATTTAACTGTATATCATACGGTGGATACAGTGTCTATTTTAGCATATTTATCGATATTTAAAAGGAACTAAACATTAAAACAAATATATGATAATGTATATTACAATTAGGTACACTTGATGAACACAATTCTTTTTTTTTACTTACATTTGGAAACCTGCCCGCTGATTACCTCGATATTGTTATATCATTATCAAATTAAACGTGTAACCCATACTTATTCCTTATACTCTTTCTAACAACCCTATATCTCATGAAGCAGAAAAGTATTACAGTAAATATTATACAGATATTTCAATTATTTTTATAATACAGAACAGCAAGTTGAGAAATAGATTCAAATCTACAATGAAATAAAATAATGATAGCACATATTATTAGATAAATTAACAATAATAAAAAATACTTTAATGCTTCATGTAAACGAGTACCATACATGTTTCATTTAAAATAAATCCACTTAGGAAAGTACTTTTATAAAAAGTCGCAACAATATTTTGCGATATGAAATAATTTGCTATCAGTTGAAATTCGTCATTTAGCTGCTTTATTCTGAACTGCGGTCACCTCAGTCAATTTTAAACTAAAAATAATTTAACATAAAAATTTCACTATATCACGACATGGTCAGAATAAAGAAGCTAGGCTCTAGGACCGCTACTAACAAGCTTTTTAAGGTCAATGGACAATTTCTATACATATACATTACGAAGATATCTACAATTTGAGATACCCACCCTAACGTCGATATTTGCTAACTTTTAGATAGAACGTGTGCCATGTGCATCAATGTTCCTTAAATCTTAAATACAAATTAAGATTTTCGTCAATAAAAGTCAACAAATATTAAGCAGACATTACCGATACAATATTTGGATTATCGAATAATACGCGGACCTAAAAAGCAACCAGGTAGTAGCGGGCCTTACACATAAAAACTTCCGGCACAATAAGGCAGTGATTTAGTGTATTCCTATACAAAATATTTCTGTTTAGAAAGTTTCCACCAGTCTGTTGCAATGAGGTTAGTCTATTGTAGATTCAAATCCAAAAAGGTTGAACAAGTCAGTAATTCAATTTAAGAACCCTTATTTGAAATACCCAATTTTTATATTATATGATTCAACATTCTCGTATCCTACAAGTACATTTTGTGTTTTATAGAATTACCTATACACTATTATCTGTTTTACACATCGTTTGAATACCAATGGGTCAAAATAACCTAATACGCGTTAAAGAAACACTTGAGTCTTAATCACAAGCATCATACAATGGAAATAAAACATTTACACGTTACACAACAACTCTGAAATGCGAGGGCATAGTTTTAATTAAATAATTTAAGTATGTGTACAAAGTGTGTCGATTCGAATCAATTTGTGCATTAACAAAAATACTTAATCTATTTCTTCGTTTGTATAAACAAATTCTCATTGGCCCTTTGAATTTCAGTCATCAGTTGCCGACACTTTAGGAATATAAAGCTTGCGATAATTAAAACCGAACGAAAGCCTAACTAGCATAGATCGTAACTAAACTATAGATTATCCAGTTTATCTCGCAGTCTGTATCGATTAGTCGGTTTCCTAATTTTTATATACAATATTTATTTTCTACCATATTGCGTCCTTGATATGCATCGCGTAACAATAAAAAAACTTAGCTCTCGCGCCCTCGACGCGTCCGGATGCGGCGAATCGTCGGCGATCACTCGGAACGCTAAGTACTGTCGGGTGAAGCGATCGGGAAACAAATAATACAAATATACGGTACAACGTAACAAATCGTCACCATAGTATTTCTTTACAGTCAGACTTATCGTATTAAATAAAAATATAGAATCATAAATATCGGATTCAGTCCAGGAGTGCACTCGCACGCGGCTAGTGAATGGCCACGGGGCTGTGGCACACGGCCTGCAGCAGCTCGTCCTCGCGCCGCACCGCCTCCACCTCCATGGGCGCGCCCCACAGCCGCGCCGCGCCGCCCCCCGCGCCCGCCGCGCCGCCCCCCGCGCCGCCCCCCGCGCCGCCCCCCGCACCCGCGCCCGCGCCGCCCGCTGCACACAACCACACGTTATACATCCACATCAAACACTTCAGCACCAAATCGAAGGGTTAGTGTTGCTAAGTACTAATAAAATGTATTAGGGATTGTGTTACAGAGGAATCTAGAACTTATAAATATGTGAAAAATGTAAACGTACATAATAATAATTCAGAACCTGGTGGCATCATTTATCGACTTGATTACTTTTAGAATACTTCCGCACTGTTAAAAACAGATCCGCGTTATCTAATTATAAAACTTGTATAGGCCATAGCAACATAAAGCTACCCGTGTGTTGTGTTGCTCATTAACGGCACACATAAAAAAACAGTCGACACTTACTTCCTTATTGCAGATGTCATCTGTGGTTTACAAAATTAACACTGCTGCGAAAAATCGTTATCCAGGAACACTAAACAGTGGACTCGTGAAAAGTCAGTCTAAATTTAAAAATCCAGTCGATAAACGATCCATCAGTTTGCACATATAGTTAATTGAAAGCCATGCGTGACACATCCAGCATGCTGAGAGGGTGGGGAAGGTTACATATAAACATTCCTAGTATATGGTTTGCAGACCTGACACGTAATCGTTAGGCACTAGTGAGGCGGGGCAATTGATCGCGGGTCGGGGCCGCCGGACCGCTCTAGTCATCGCGAGTCCGACGGGCTATCTGCCACAATGCCAAGTTTACACCTTTAGGTTACTCGTGGAAGTTACACCTGCGACTTGGGACTACTTTTTAATCCACAAATGATTAGTACAATAAATTCAACCAAAGCGCACCATCGCTCCTTTAATAATGCTGACTGTCCTTGACATAAAAATCTGAATTGTCTTCTAACTTTAATATATACATTTGTATGCAATTTCCAGTCTGCAGTAATCAGTAAAATTTATATGTGTAATATAACAGTAACAGTAACTTCATGTAATATAACAGTAACTTCCATTTTTTTTTTTTATAAAAAGATATCTTTTAAAGTTTCAATAGTTAAGACAAATGATAAAGCGATTTATGTTAGCAAAGAACACGACATAAGCTTGAAATGATTATGTTAGACTTATATTAGATGATATTAGACATAAATGACGATCAGTCGGAGACCAGTAGTACTATTTTCATTTAAGGTAAGGAGTTGTCCAAGCATGATTAAGTTACAATATCAAATAACAAAAAACTGAATGTACATATAATATTCTCCTAAATTAATTTCATACCCTGATTATTTACTTAATAAATATTCACAAGCGTTTAAACGCGATTAAAAGCAGTTTTAACTTTGTGAATGTGATTGAAATATAAGCATATAGCTTTAATAAATCTATGAATCATCATCTACTAACAGCTGTAGTATATAAAAAACAAAATAACCAAAAACAAATGAAATCTTAAAATATTTCTGTAACGTTTCTCCATAGTCTAATGCAGTCTTTTTATATTGATCCAATTAAATGAACACATTTCAAGCAACTTCGCTACCCATCCCTAAAGAAGAAGTGAGTGACTGTAAGTACAATGTTAGAGAACTAACCGTGTTGATGATGCGACTGCGCTTGCTGTGTGTTTGTGGACTCATCTGCGGTCCTTTTGAAGAAATTGTGTTGCAGCGCATAGTACGGCGTCACACGCTGTTTGGGGTCGTACTCCAACATACGGAGGATTAGGTCCTGATATTTGAAAAGTATTTTAAAAGTTGAACACATTATAAGAGAACGCATAGTTCAAATTTATTTGTAAAAAATTTCAAGATGTTAGATGTGCAGAAACCCCGATCGCCAGACTGATGATCACAGCTTATACTGCTGTTTTTTCAAAGCGCCTTCTGGTTCACCTGATTATTACATTTTACAAATTAATATATCCATACAACAAAGCCACGGCAACAAAGATATCCGGGAATAAGTCTGGAAAAAATCGTATATATTCCATTTGCAAAGGAGGAAATGTTAGTCTATGTTGTCCGATAACTCCAGACGCCGCCGGACGGACTGGACGGGGGGGGGGGGTCATAAACGTATGGTCCCGTCATCGAAATATTGATCAAATGCAAGAATAGTAAAGTAGACGATGAGCATACCTTAAATTTGAGATAATCTGAGACGGAGTGGCCGGGCTCCCCGCGGCGGCGCGCGGCCGGCCCGCCGCCCTCCACGCCCAGGATGTCGTGCAGCCGCCGAGTGCCCGGCGCGCGGTACTTCCTGTAACCGCTGCGAACATCACTACATGCTACACATACTCGTCTAATATCATCATTTGGATAACATTTAAATGCTGCTAAAAATAATAATGCTATTATTTATAACTTTTAAACATACTTAAAAAAGTAAATAATTATGAAACGGGTGTAGGATCGACCGATCCCATCTTTATAATCCTAGCTCTGGAGCACTATATAACTTGTGTTAAATTTATTAAGTCAGACTTGCCGAAATCATCAAACCCATTTCGCTCCAAAAGCGTGTTTTAAATATACATATATTTATATGTATATAATGTTTTAATTTTCATAGATTTATAAGGAAAGAAAACAAAATTAAGGAAAACGGAGGTCCTTTACATGATGATGTGATGTGATGAGGTCCTTTTCCCTGCTAATTTTTAATGATAATAACTTTAATTCCTAATTTAAAAACAATGAACTAAAATATTGAAATCAAATTTCGATAGTTACCTGCCATCCTTCCCATTGACTTTCTTTAATACATAACTACCACCTTCAGCAGTTGGTAATTTGTCAAAGAATTTTCTTGTTTTATGTGCCTGTAAATAAAATAATTAATTTACAGATTTAAAAACTCTTAGTATATATTACCTATATATACTTAAATGATTTACTTAATTAATAAGTTAAAACGGGGGGTTAATAAATCGTTTGGGGGGTTAATAAGTCGTCTGGTAACAATTTACATAGAGTACAAAAATATGAACAAACCTGGTCTAATAAATGATCAGGCGGCATGCCGAGCACCTCGACAATTTTGTTCATTTGGTCGACTTCGTTGGCTCCGCTGAACAGCGGCTCGCCAGTATGCATCTCGACCAGTATGCAGCCAAGCGACCACATGTCTATCGCAAGGTCATAGGATACGCCCAACAGTACCTCAGGCGATCGATAAAACCGCGATTGTATGTATTGGTATATCTGAAAGTTAAAAAGATTGTTGATCATTGATATATATATATAGGTCCTTCACAAAACAAACGTTTTATACACGTAACTTATTCCATCTTGTAACGCAACAGCTTGTACCCTTATAATGAAATGTCTAATAACAGTAAAAATGTGGGGTATGGCCAGACATAAGCAAATTCACGGTAGCGACGGTAACCTTGGTCTTTACTGATCTCATTTTTGACATTTATTTAAGTAGTTCTTAGAATGTTCTCTTGCATATTTGTGCTTGTTTGTGTAGCAATAATAAACATACATGCAAACATAAATATTTCACAATTAGATCATAATTTGCTGTAGCTAAGGCGAGAGTTGAACTGTTCATGTTTTAGTGTAAACCAAAGATAAAGGGGGTCAAGTCCAAAGCATGGCCTTCTAATTGAACTAATAGACTGATAAACTAACCGGAATCGGTAATATACATATTATGTTGCTAATTGTGTTGGAACTCAATATGTATAGTATATATACATAACAACGATTAGGTAAGTTATCGACACACTTGGTAAACCTCGGACACATTAAGATATCGTGGAATTTGTCAGAAATGAATAGTTAACTATCTGAGTGTCAGTATATGTTAATTGATGTGCGTGTTGTAGAATTATACGCTGCCCGCCAAGAATCCTATTATTATGCAAGTAGAATGTATTTTAGGTAAGATCATCGAATCATTTTATAGATTACTTTGAATGGAACAAAAAATCTTGCCATTCTACTGAACAATAATTAATTGACTAAATAGTCGCTTCACTGCATTTAACAGTGATCGTTAATACCACCAAGAATAGTAACTAACTGTTTTTCCCCGTTATTAAGTAATAAATGTTTTTGGCAAAATATACAAGATTCATTACTCATGACGTCGTCACCAATATTTTAAAATATACACAACCACACACATACACAACATATACACAACCAAATATACATAACCAATATACACAAATGATATACAATACAGCTTTACCGGGTCGAAATCACTACAGCTAACAATCTTGTATCAAGACGAGTAGAGTGTACGAATCCTAAAGTGTAGAGTTGTAAGTAAATGCGAGTATACGCCGATAACCGTTGACCTCTACGACTACTGAATCACACAAGAGCGGTGTGATTTATCTGCGCAATTAACTTGTACGGGAATTGAGTCTATAAATTGAATAAATCGTTAAGAGCAGTGGAAACTACTTCTATGCTATTAGGTGATTTTAAAAATCTACGAATAGTTGTAGAACAGATTTTTATGTCTGTTATACACTAAAAAGTTTTTTCGGTTTAATGCAGATTTCAACGCACTCTTACAGAAGGCCAGGTCTTGTACAGACGACAATTTCGAGTTACATAGATGTGTGATACTGATGATGATAGCATGACGAAATCATCATCTTTATCATCATCATCAAAAGCCTTTAATATGCCACAGCTGGACATAGTCTTCTCATTAGAAAGAAGGTTTTGTGTGATACTTATCGACTTAAAGCCGTCGCTGTAGAAGCGGAACATTTTTTGTTTAATAAAGTAATGCTATCACTGTGATCGGTCTATAAAATTAATAAATAGTGACTTATTGATACCATTTCTAAATAAAAGGGAACCATAAAGCTTTCTTCGCAATCATAAGATAGAGTTCATTAATTTATCATCAATCAATTTATCCAATCCACTTCTGGACCGCTTCCCAAACATGCGCTATAGCCCTCGGTACTCCAGTCTTGCGCATACAGTCTATCCTAGCTATCTTCCTCAGGCAGACAGATAAGACACGGCTAATAAAGCCACATTTTGTAGAAAAATAAAAGGCTTGTATAATGAGAATTGTGAAATTTGGCAACACAAGAACTTATAGCATGAAGTGAAGATAAAAACGAAAGGAATTAGTTTGTTGGTCTAACCCATAAAAAAATCACGTCACAAAACAAGTGGCCGCAAGGGTTAAATTTATAGAAAACAAACATACTTGCAATCTACACATTTTTCTTACTGTTAAGTAGCATTGACCATGATACAGTAACTCGTTGAACATTTTGTTTTACACAAAGAACGCTAGGTGATAAAATGAGTCTCGTAGACTTACCCGTTGACCCAGCTGACACGAGCTTCCAAAGTCCACGATTTTAATGGCAGACCTCTTCGGGTTACATAGTAGTATATTCTCGGGTTTAAGATCACAGTGAATTATATTTAGTTCTGAAAAAACAAAAGAGACTGGAATTAGATCTCAAGATAATCTCATCATGGTTCAGAGAACAATAGAACACAGGAGTTACTTCGCGTTATACATTTTTATTTTCACGTCATACTTTATGGAATTAGCAATATTAGCTAATTCCAAAAAGTTCAAACAGCATTAGAATTCCTACAGTAAACGAATGTAACTAATGTCATTGAATAGAAAAAATACAGTCCGACTAATTCTGGACTGTCAATGAGGTAAGTCCTGTAAACGTGCATATACGACGTAGTCGGCAGCAGACCATTCACAGGAAGACAATATTTTAACGTGGCGGCACTGCCTTCAGCCTGCAGGAAGCACTGGTCATCATTTCTGGTAAAAGTGTCTATTAATTATTTTATTGTACAAAGAGTATTTGAAGACTTAGTAAATAAATCAACGAGCCTTTTATCTCATAAAATAAAAAATAAGCAAAGGTGAAAAAAATCAATTGATTTTGGATGTCTTATAACCAGTCTTGGCATTTGATAGGTCGTAATAAATTATAAGTAAGCAATATATACTAACCAGGTTGACTAAGGAACAATAGCGCAGTGCACAATTGCTGTGCAAACTTGCGTGTGAGGTTGAGCGAGACGCCTCTAAAATTGGTGTTGCGCAGCAGGTCGTACAAATTATATGACAACAGCTCGAACACTAGGCACAGGTGGTTCCGCCACATAAAATGGCATTTAAGTTTCACTGAAAAATCAAACAATATTTAAGCACTACTGTTGAAGTCCCATCTGTCTTATCTAATACTAAAATTATAACAGAAAAGATACATATTGTATACATTTTTCGAGAGTATACTTTTCGACCATAAAACTACATTTAAAATTTTAACTATTATCTGTTCATTTATTTTTACAGTTCGAAAGTCAATAAGTATTTGTATAGTGCATAAGTACTGATGGTCTAATATGTTTCCCAATAAGACACCAAATTTATTTAGGAAAAGTTTTAATTTACTAAAAAGTACTTAATTTCTAGCGCAAAACACTGACGTTTAATATTTTACATAAGAATTGTATAATTAGTACTAAGGACACACGTAAAGAATCTAGTGTGTAGTATATTTTATTTGTTTATTACTCTAAGCTAAAACTGAAATCAGGCATACAGATAGACATAATTCATTCCTACAAATATTTGCTACGAACGTGAGCTATCACGTGGGAGAGTGATACCACACCTCACATTAAACTGAGAGCCAAGTGCGAGTTTATTTCACATCTACTAGATGGTCACGATGAGCGCATTCGGTGCTGCGATTGGTCCGCAACGAAGTCTTAACCAATCGCTACGCCGAACGCGCTCGCTGTCGAAACCGAGTTGATGACAAATAAACTCGCATTTGGCCCTCCGGTGTTGAGCAATTCTTTGCACCGAGTAAGTAAGGTTACCCGGGCCTGCTTCCCCAGATTTCGGGGCAGGGGACTCAGGGCGGCAATACACTTGGGCCTCTTGAGTTGTCTACCACAGTCACATACCATAAGGTGACCCTTCTGTTAGTTTGCCCCCTAAAGTTTCTCTTGCTTGGTTAAGCCGACGTGGTTAAGCGTAAGTAAGTTAATAAACGAACAGACAGAAACAGACAGCATATTTTTTCAACATCAGTTTGTTTTGAAATAAATCGGTCTTATGTTAGTGTCAAAAAAAAATACAGCCACAGGGAACTTGAAAAATTACCGCATTTTTATAAAGGAAGTAGAGATTTAACCTAATGGATAATATAGTGACTTGGGAGCTTATAAACTTACCTATATAATACTTATTTTCAGGATCCGCTCTGTTCATCATTTTTAGTAACTTGACTTCTATTTGTGCCTGGTTTAGGAAGGGTTTCTTATTCTTAATTATTTTAATCGCTACTTGACACTGCTCCTCGTGGTCATACGCTTTCACAACCTGTAACGATATTATGAACAAATTTGGATATATATTTTGTACGATAGCTTTAAAAGTTACAAAAACTGTTTTAGAGACAAGGTTTTGCGTCAGTAGTACATAACTGGCTAATGCGAAACTCGGTTTTAAAATTTAAAATGAAATGCTAAATGTATCCATGATTGAAGTTTTTTTGTTTAGTATGAAAATAATGAATATAGTAGTAATAACAGTAGCATTCCTAGTCTGATAAACTATAATAGCGGTTCCATGAATCATGTGATTACACATGAAGTGCAATCAGTATGCTTGTATTTTTTCTAAGAACAAATAAAATGGACCTAACAAAGTCATGTTTCATAGAAACTGGTTCAATATTTTTCAAATCAACATTTACAGCGAACAATAATGTATCCGTGATAACTAATACAGTTGTAACAATAAAAGGTTTGCAACTTTGAACAAATAATTCACGAAACCAGTCTATAAATATCTATGATAAAATCGTCTGAGAGATTTTATATTAGTGTAGTTAGTTAGTTTTTTTTTTTATTAGTGTGTGGTTGTAATAAAACGAAATTAAATTTCCCATTATTAATCATTCGATCGGCATTTTTCAGTTATCATTCCAAATTGGGAGTGATCGGCAGAAGTATTATGTTTCTGGAAAAAGACCTCTAGCAGACCTGCGCCGAGAAAACGTTTCAGGAGTTTAATAAAGTTTTCGCCAACTCTGACAGAGGCAAGAAAATACTTTAAATGTTCTATCTATTTAATTAATATTTTTTCTCTTACCTGTCCAAATGATCCCTTTCCAATAGGCGATGAGATCTCATACCGGTCGAGGAACTTCTCGCCCTGCTTAATAATGTAGTCATGGTTATCATCGTCGTAACCATCATTATATAACTTCCGCTCCTTTTTGTGCGAGCCGTCTTCGCCCAGGTACTGTTGCGCTCTCCGCTTTTTCTTAGCGTAATATACCTGAAACAAATGGAGGTTTCATTAGTATCATAATCTAGTTCATTTCGTTCCTTTAATTTGTGCGTATGGACATATGGAGCGCCAAATCTTTTTACTAAGTTTTTTTTTTTATTAATTAATACATTTATTTAAATGCTAACATAAATATCGTAAAAGTATTATTATGGCAAATAATTGAAGAACTTATACACTTATATTACAAAATTATCAAATATAACATGATTAAGAATATTTTTTCCAGGATGGACTTTTCTGTCAAGAATCTTATTTACGCTACGGGGTTATACGGATAGGCTACTTGTTCATCATTTCTTTAATTTGTTGTGTAACCGAAATCCGAGATCTTTTTCAGTCATGTTGTTCATTTAGAACGTTAATGAAGAAATTAAGCTATATACAGTACAACTGCGGATTTACTCACATGTAATCCATGCCGTATTTTGAACGCGAAGATTCTAAATAGTCCATTCATGTTCATTTTGCTCAAGTTCACAGGTGCCCAATAAGACACTTGTGAACTAAGAACAAACAAATCATTTGTATGCCATATTCAGTTCAATGTATTATAAATTGAACATGTCATATAAGAATGAGACGTGGTGTTATGAATAATTAGGTTCAAGGATCACCTCATTGCTATTCGCCGAAGATTTATTATTTCCCAGGTTTTTAGCGGTTTACTATTTTTTTGTTATTTATATAATTAGTAGTCTTTTTTAGAACAATTTTTGCTGTTTGGTCCCGTGGGACACTTATTTGACTACTTTGACAATACATCAAATGAGAGAATATTCTTTTTATAAGGTCGCTTATGTATGTCAATGCAGTCAACAAAGAGGTCTTATTACACAAAAAAAATTAAGAATTGTAAGAAAAACTTAAAAACAATGCATGTCTGGTTTGTTGATTGTTAAAATGTGCGGATTTTCTCCTTTAAGGACATATGTTTATAATGTATTTACGTGAATAGATATGTAATTCGAATAATAGTAATGTAAACGGATCGCATGCGAAAGATGAAATAAAGAGTAAGCGAACGAAGGAATTCTTGGCTGACGGACGTTGACCCAAATATGTGGTTGACATTGATCGACGACGACGGGTCGCGATATGCCCATATAAAATATTTGTACTGACTGTCGAACAACGGCTATACCGGACGCATGGATTTGGGACTAGGAAGTTCATTGCTACTGTCTTTTTTATGAGGTACTGCGAAGCCCAATATGACTAATTGTTTTGCGACTGTCGGTAACTTTAGGTATTCGATGAAAATATAGAAAGCAGTTTTGATTACTATCTTGGCGAGGTTTTATGATTAAAAGTGTGTGTTTAAATTGTAATTTGCGAACACTATAACATATAACGAAGTATTTAGGAAGTGCTATTAATACCTAGTGCGGGAATATATTGGCAAGTGCATAGCATTCACATGGTGGCGGTACGGAAGTGTCGCATATCGACGCGGCCAAACGATAACCCAAATTTCTGACAGCGACCTACATATTGTACTATACTGTATGTTTTACAGGGGGACTAGCGCCCCCAGCAACTGAAAAGTCTATGTGCAAATCGTTACATTAAATTGTGTGGTTATTATTCGATGTTTATTTGCAACGGCAATGTATAATTTGCGTGATAAATCTAGTTTTATTGTCTACCATGAAAACTTACAAAGTTAATAAATCCTTGGTCAGTGATATTTTATAATTGAGAAGAGTTCTGCATTCTATTTCGATATTTTGATGATTGGGGGCTGTTTAGAAATGACTATATGTGGCAAACAAATGCTAGTGTTGGTGGTGGGTGAGGATGGTATGGTGAGTCAGGCCAGTGACCGCGGCACGTGGCCGCGAGATGAGCGCGTCGGGCCGGGGAGAGACGGCGCGCGGCGGCTGTCATTGATTTTCCCCGTTTCCCCCCTACCCCGAGCCTGGCTCCCTCCCCACCGCGTCTCACCCACTTCCAGCGCCCGATAACGAGGTTAACGGGCGACGTGAGCGTCTCCTAAACTTTAATTATACCCGTACACCCGTCGTACATGTTTAACCCGGCCTCTATTCAGCGTTTTGTTTGCGCACCTGATAGTGAGACTGATCTACTATTCGCTTGACGTTTAACTATCTAATGAACGTGGTCGGCGATGGAAACACGAAGAGTTCAACTTGTACAACGTAGGTGAGAAGTTGTCGTTGCACACCAAGCTGGATCAAACCTAAATCTCAACTCATGAACGAGTTACTAACAAACTTCATACATTGCTAATCATATTATACTTGTACCTCAATAAGCGTCAATAAAGAGAAAATAATTTTAGCTGTCATGAAATATAACAAGTTTTGCGAACTAAATAAAAGAGCTCGTTCTAGCTAGTGATCCCAGACCAAACTGCGTACCTAGATTGAAACCGGACATATGGAGAAATCTATGAAAACATAAGAAAGGTACATGAGAAATCGCTTTTGGGTATAACTTGAGAAGAGTAAAGTGTAGGTAATTGCCAACTTTGTAGGTATTTGCGAATCGCTTGAATACATGGGCGGGATAGACTCGTAATAGGTTTTGTTTTTTTCTTCAGAGATGTAAATATAGATAAGATAACGAAGCTTATGTAAATGTATAAACATAAAGACAGTGGCATGTCAATATATATTTGAAAATGTAATATCTGTTCATAAAAACAAGGAAAGCTTTTTGAAAACAAATGACGTACATTCTATAAATACAACCTATAGTAGGCCAAAACCTCCTTTCTAAGGAGAGGCCTATGTCCAGCAGTGGACTATTAAGGGCTGTTGATGATGATGATGTAGTACCTGCCTCTAGGCTCCGAAAGATAAACAAGTCAATGTGTCCAATTTTATAATAAAATCCCAAATGATATTCAAGTTAGGTATTAACAAATTTAAATCCGCAATTAAACGTAAATTATGTCAGAAAGCCTATTACTCAATCGTGGATTACATAGAAGACAAAAATGCTAGGGTATAATAATGTGATGTGGGCTAGAGTTTCTTGTATTATTTTTTTTTTTTTTTCACTTCACTTTTATTTGATCTTTTTTCTTATTATTGTCTTTTTACCTTTTCATCATCAATAACGGACATACTGGCGCACATCGGAACAATGTTGTGGTATATTTAATAATGCCATTTTATTTATCTGTAAATTGCAAAAGAGTAAGTTTGTGTGCCCTTTTTTCTCATAAGGCTCAACCCCTTGAAAGCGGGTGGTTGTGGATCGGCATAGAAATAGCCGTATACATAATTATAAGCATTTTTATTAAACTTTTTTTCCTTACTATTTGTCAAAACAGAGATTGTTGCTATTGTGTGTGTGTGTGATGACTATGACTACGACTTTACGAATCTACATAAAAGACAATTTCAAACAATTTTTTTTTTTATGAAATAAAGATATTTTGAATTTGTAAGCCTAATATTAGAAATAGTAACTCTTCCAGAGATTACTGTAGGTTGTACCTAGGGAATGCCATCTCGAGACGAGATCGCTAAGTCGAGATCTCGAGGGATCAGAAATTCGATCTCGGCGAGATCTCGGCATTTTTGAGATCTCGAATGCATTTCGAAAAGTATTGTTTTCATTAGATAATTGTCACATGATTGAAACTACTTAGTTGTGATTATGACGTGACTTGATGTGAGTAACATACAACATGAATTATTGAAAAAAAGTCTTTATTTTAATAATTTTTTACTTATGTTATGATAATGAACACCGAAATTCAGACCCATAAAATCTCGAATAAAGAAAGTACTTACTTTAATAAAGATAATAATAGTGAAAACAAAAATTTACAAAAATTGCTATTTCAAAATCACTTCTAAACTAAGAGTGATTACGAGTGATCACTGCTACACTAAAAAACGTAAAAAAAAACTACTGCCGCTCGATCTCGTCAATCTCGGACGAGATCTCGACATTTTATGCTTCGAGATTGATCTCGAAAAATTAGGCGACATCTCGGCAGATCGGGATCTCGGGGGATCGAGATTGCATTCCCTAGTCATGTCGCTACAATAGTTATATCTTAATTTATTTGAGAAAGAGGAATTAGAGGTTGAAGAAATACAACATTTCTTCAATATTTAAATTATCGACGGCAACATAGATTCTGAATAAGAAACCATATAAAATGCCACAATCATGGCGAATATGCCACATTATTTCAAGAGTTTGCTGGGAGAAGGCAGCGGGGAACGGTTGGCTTGCTCGCGGCGCAAAATTCTTAAGAAAAATGAGACATCTCTCCTCTCAGCTTGATCCATTTAGACCATGTCATGTGCCATGACCATGTCATATCATTGGTTAGGTAAAGTTACAGTAATTCCTTCCTACTACTGAGTACTGAACTATTTCCTATTTCATTGGTTTGGATTATAGTTGAGTTGGTGGGTTGGTGAGTGGATTTTATTGGTTTAGTTTTACACACTCCAGAACCAGGGGGCGGGGGAGGGTATAGGCTCTGGTATATAATGATATATTCATATTGTAAGAATGTGCCCTTGAAAGGATGCTGGTGCTTGGCTCAGGTCTTCCTATTTTAGTTACCAGCCGCCCATAAATTGTAAAAAAATCTTGTAAGTATAATTTGTAGCTTATGCCATTCATAACTCGTTCCTTATTTGCCCATGTGCGAATAATTACAATTGCAATCCACTTTCTACAATTTTTCACATGTAAAAATTAAAACACATACTAAAGTTAAACCGCCGTAAGCTTGACCCTCCTGATGGTTTGGGGGACGCAGGGCGGGGGTGCATTCAACCAATTAGCTAGTGCGTCGCTGTCCGCCGGCAGTGACTGACGTGAAAGCATGGCTGTACGTGTTATTTTTCTTAAGACTGCTACACACGGTATTATTTTGCAACATGGATAATCTGCCGACTCTGCGTCACAAAAAGATTTAAAAACTTGAAGTTCGGCTTACAGAGGTTCTACTGTTAAAGTTCTAATAAAGAATATTTATTATTTTACTTAATTTTTAAATTGTATCTAAATATAATTTACATGCTGAAGATAAGGTGATTTTATTAAAATTATTTTACAGTATTAAATTTTACAATTAATCATAAAAACTTACAATACACTATAATACATGGAAATAAATTCGATTTTTATTACATCGTGTGTAGATTAAATCTCAAACAAATAAATCTGAAGAAATCGAGTTAGTACATCGTGTCATGTATAGCCGAGCGCATCACCCGCCCCGCGTCCCGCAAACCATCAGGAGGGCCAAGCTTACGGCGGTTTAACTATAGCATTTAGTTCTCTTTTGTTTCCAGGCACTCATACACACTGCGTTACATTATTACTCATACACATTACAAACACTGCGTAAGAGACATCGGGGTTTCGTATGATTTAATGCTCTTTATCGAACTTTTATTTAATGTCTATAAACCATGACTGGGGTTTGTCTGACGATAGCTCTTGTGTATTGCTAATTGGGAA